CTCCTGTTCTGATATCGGTAACTCATTATCAGCCGCATTTTGTAGTGCGTGTGTTTCATTTCAAGAAAAACCTGGCGAAATGCGTTTGCTCACCCAAGTAGCATTTCTTGTTTTATTGCACTCTATTAGTGGTTATTGAGATCAATTTTATAAAACCGTCAATAAAATTAATAGCTCCAGCACAACCTTTTGATAACCGCTATAAGATCGTCTTACAGCTTAGTGGACCACTCTTGATAAGGTTTATAAAGCATGTTTGAGAATCATAATAAAGCTGTCTTAAAACCTTTTGTCATAAAGCCTCATACTCTACAAAAGGTTCTCATAGCCTCTTTAAGAGCAATATTATATCCAAGCAGCTTTATTACGCTTTGGTGAAAATCAGTTATAAAGCCAATTTAATTTTATTGCATCAAAGCAACCGCCATAAATTAGCTTGTTGTTGTTCTGTTCTGCTGAAACTTTTTTTTTCCAAATGGAAATCTTTGGCGTAAAAATAGGTTTGAGTGTTGGTGTCAAGATCACCATGCAATCAATTTTGTTTCATGGCGACATAAGTGAAAATCTTAAAGAAAATAAATGACTTTTTAGAAGTTCCAAAACATATGCGCTTGAAATGTTATCGTGTATATTGGGATAATATGAGCGTTAAATAAATGCGCCTCCAAAATAATTCAAGTTAACAAAAAAGATTGTTTCAGAAATCAAATGAACTTGATGGAATCACCTTAATTTTACAGAAAATAGATCTCAATACATAAATTCATACCAATGCACACTGGAAATCATTTCGGATCTCTTATTTAGCCATTATTTTATTGAAATTTCTTGGATTTTATTCCAAGGCTAATGGCATTTTCATAATGACAATATGGCGACAGAGGACAGCAGCGAGAAAAACACCAAGCGCAATTTCTTAAAATGTCTAATGCTTACATTGCACACTGGGTCAGGAATGCAACCTAGCGGAGCAAGATTAATAACTCCGAAACGAAGCATTTCCGTGACTTGGCGTCTTGGGCAAAATTTCTTATCATAAAAAGGACCATCTATTGACATAAACAAATAGTTCAAAACTCTTCCGCAAAGAGGGTGCCACAATCTAACTTCTTTCTCTGACGTTTTGGAGACTTGATGTCTTGGGCAAAGTTGTTTATCTTGACAAAATGAACAGCTCTTTCAAAGACGTTAAATTTCCATAGTCTATTGGTTCCAAGTTATATGGAGTTAAAGAAAAAATGTCGAAAATATGGTTTTTTCTTTTTGTTTCGGTTTTTTGCTTAAAAATATAATGTTATATTTTTCTCTTATGCAAATACATTAAATAAATAGCTTTTGTGAAGAAACATACTGGATTAAGCTTCAAATTTCAAAGATATTGTTGAAAAAAAAACGAAAAAGAACACAATTTTTGAACTTTAATATCTTCCAAAGCGCAAAAAATCGCAAACTGACATTTTTAGCAAAAATTAAGCAATACTCGATAAACAAAATATCAAAATTTGAGAGAGGTATATTTTGGTGTCAAGATAAACAACTTTGCCCAAGAAGTTAGATTGTGGCACCATCTTTGCGGAAGAGTTTTGAACAATTTGTTTATGTCAATAGATGGTCCTTATTATGATGAGAAATTTTGCCGAAGACACCAAGTCGCGGAAATGCTTCGTTTCGGAGTTATTAATTTTGCTCCGCTAGGTTGCATTCCTGGCCCAGTGTGCATAGGATGAAAGCAGAACAGAAAAGCATAATGCATGATTTTATCACGAGAACTATTTTCTTTTTACAAGAGCAATTCAAGCTGAACTTTGCATTAGGTCCTAAGTAACATTGATCGATTCTCTTCGTCGACTTTCTCTTTCGTTAATAACTTATTCACCGAACCGTTTCTTGATGTGTTTGTCATATTGGATGCTAGATAAAAGCTTCTTTTATCGATTTATGTGCTGAAAATACCTGGGAATGTCTTTACATGACCGTGGGGATGCAAAGAGAAAGTCGACGAAGAGAATCTGTCAATATTACTTAGGACCTAATGCAATGTTCAGCTTGATTTTTTTTTATTTGAGGGCAAATGTATATTCCTGTTCTACGGGTGCAACCGATGAATTTTACAAACATTTGGAAAAGTTTTAAATGGTACATTAACCTTTATGAAAAGTTATGCGTGATTTCAACCTTTTTGTCCTAGGACTGTCACCATTCCATGTATTTCGACCAAGATTCGACAGTGTCACCCCATGTATATGCGAGCGAAAACGGAAGAATTATAGAGACTGCTGATGTTTTTCTTACGCACACTACGTCGCGTATACGTATACACGAAATGTTTTCATGCTCATGCTAACAATTTTGTTGATTTTCTTTGCGCTCCGCTTGGAAGCACCGGAAAGTTTTGATTCTTTTCTATGTTGTAAAAATAAACCGCCTATTTACATTTCTGACAAGTTGCAACTGAATGCTTATAATTGTTTTAAAATAACTGTTTCATGGCCAACTAGTTTTATTGCGCTTACTTATAAAGCAATAAAAGGATTTATTTTTGGGTTTTATAAGGGCAATTCATATTGCTTTTTTTATACTTCAAAGCAATCATAAAACCTTTCATAAGTGAAAATAGCATAAGCATCAGTTGGTTTTTTCATTAGCTTTATAGGGGTTGTGTAGATAGCTATAAGAATGTTTCATGACTTGCATTGTATATGACCGTGATAAAGCAGTAGGTAATGGTTGCAGCTGCAATAAAACCTTTATACATTCTGAATATAGCCAAGCAGCTCTAGATTTGTTACTTGGGCAGTCTTAAAAATTTAATCAGACTGCTGAAAAACTAATGTCGTTTTCGTTTTTGCGGTGTAGCTACACTGATGCTACACCGCCGAACACCGAAAAAAATCAGGGTGTAGCATAGCTATCGGTTACACCTTTGTTTACAAACACAAACAAAGAATGGTGAGCTGTCAATGACTCGCGCAGCCGGCGCCGGTGGTGTAGTGGTAAGCGTGACTGCTTTCTAACACCCCAATGGGTCTGGGTTCAATCCCAGCCGAGGTCGGTGGGATTTTTCTGAGGCATAAAAATCTCTGGTCACGTCTTCCTTCGGAAGGGGAAGTAAAGCCGTTGGTCCCGGCCCATGTGTGTTGAATGGGTGCGATATCCTACGCAGGTGTGGAAGCTGCCTTCCTGCACATTCGATTGCCGTCAATGGATGGCAATCGATGTCCGTCGGTGATTGGCACTAGATTGCGGAACAGAGACCGACGTTAAATAAAGGAAAGAAGAAGAAGAATGACTCGCGCTTACAGACCTTTTTGACGTTTAATCGTCTTTCTCTATCTAGCACATATGGATCAATGGACGGTTTGTTTTCCCACTTATCTGTTTCCCTCTTGCTCGCACTCGTTCAATTTAAATAGTGCAGTAGTGTGCGCCGATTAAACGTCAAAAAGCTCTATTGCTGCCTAAGCAAACCCCACACGTATCAATATATTGACGCGAAGGGGAATTATTGACATTAATATTGATGATGTTAATAAAGAAATATTGTCAATACCGATGTATTGACGTCAATATTGAATGTATTGACAATACGATTATTGTCAATAAAAGCAATCGTGTCGGTCCACATTACACTACACGTTGGAAGTTGGAAGCGAAGTGTTTGGTGTGAATATACAGTGAAATTACTGTATACATTTAGGTTTTTAAAAAACAGTCAATGGGTGCCAAAGCCGACATTTACCCTACATAATTTATTCATCGAACGTGGATATCAAAACATGACCTAGAACCTAGCCTAGAACTGATTTAATTCCGGGAAAAGGTACAACAAATCGGGTGAACATCTTTGCTGAGTACGTTTTTATCGTTGTTGGCTGATATGTTAAATTAGTTTTATGCCAGTTCATTAAGCTTTGGAATAGCTGAAAATGTCAGTGATATTAATCTTAATATTAATAAGAAGAGGCACCATCTATAAGTCAGATAGGAACAATGTTCTGATTTGAATTATTTGTTAGATCACTTTCTCAAATAAGTAAGATAATTATTAATTGTTTTGATATTTAAGCTTCAATAAGAGCAGCTTTTTTATCAACGCAAATATCACAATCATATGACCAGAAAATCATAGATAGTTAAATAACGAGCAAAGAAATATGTTTATGATAGAACTCCCCTATAAATAAAAATTGTACGCTAGAAGCACAAAATTCAGCACTGTGTCTGGTTGGGGAATATTTTAAATGTTGAATATAGATTTGATAAAGAAAATTGATTTATAAAAAAAAAATACATAAATTGATCACTTTAAATCATCACAACAAAAATAAAAATTATTCTGATTAACAAATTAAAAAACCTAACACTCCACAAGAACCCTGAGCTCAATTCCGCCCAGTAACGTAAAACAACATTCAATCGTTTGGAACTTAGTTGATACCCTGAGGAATTTTCGCAATCCGATGCTGCCTGATTTTAATCTCGGAAACTGCCATTGATTAATGTTTTTATTAGCCTTGATACGCATAATTTATCAACTGGAAATGAAGGAATTCATCGCAAAACAACTTCTGCACTCTAGGCTAGAACAGACGATGGAACACAGCCACCACAGCACAATTGATATGCGGCACACGGCCAAGGTAAAAGTGGAATAAAGTCCATCAAGTGCGATACTTCCAGTCAGGACCTACCTATCCTCTCCCATCGTGAGCTATACCCAGCTGACGGGCAACTTCAAGTGCATCGTCGCTCATTCACGTGGAGAACATGGTGTTTTATTTCCCATCGTGTTTCATGTTTATGTTCATGTATGGCGTTTGATTAATAATATGCTATGTCCAATCTATTGCTACCAGGCATGATTCCGCATTCGCTGACATTTTAATAAGTGCAATTCAGTGGATATCAAGTAGTATCAAATTTGTGAAGATTATTTTTCAAATTCTCTCTTGTAATATTGCAAAAACATTAAAAAACCTTTTTTATTATTTTATTTTCAGATAACATCACTCTACACAACATGTCGCATCCACAGCGCCGAGGTGCGCCGGTCGAGTGTCCGCTAGCGTCCCTTGGGCGGAACACTCCCTCGATGGACGCCCTTCAGTATCACCACCCACTAAGCTCCAGTCCACTGGATCCGCAGGCCTACCAAATGTCCCGAAAATCACCAATCCTCGGTATTGATTCGAACATCTACACTGCGGAAACAAGCCTAGTAACTAACCATCCTGCCACGAATGGGTGCGCGAGTGATAAAACATTAGAAAATGGCAATATGCTCTCTAGGAGCTCCTCTTCATCAATAGATCAAAACGCTTCCTATCTTCACCAACCTCCACGGCCAAGCGTCAATAGGCGTGGCGAGTATCGACCGCTACGACCTAGAACGTATACCCCAATAGATGCACTACTAACCAACACCTACCAGCACCATCAAAGACTGTCGCCAGTCCTAATGGACATCCAGCGGAATCATGTGAACTATCAAAGGGAAGGACAACCCCTCACATCGCTTTCGGAAGCGGATCGATATTTTCTGGAGGAGAAAATGGACTCTCTCTACATTCAAGGTGCCATCCGACGAAACGCCAACACTCCGTCCAGTCTTACTAGGAACCAGTCTAGCAGTAGCAATAACACCGAACGGTACTACCTGGAGAACGAGAACATCGATGCGATCTACAACTACTGCCATGCGGCAGCCGCAATCACTACTCTTAACTCGCACAACTCCTCCTCGAAGGCCTCCTCGAGTCACAATGACTGCCTTGATTCTAGTTCACCAAATCTGCTGCGTCGAGCGTCCAGCCCGGAGACAAGTGGATCCGATCGGTACCTGATCGACCGGATACGAGGTTCACCAGCGTATCACGGGAGAAATTCACGTATTGCCCAGCAAATGAAAGTTAACACTACAGATTTCGTTGATGGGAGGTGAGTTGACATTCAGCATGATGAGTCAAAATGTACAAGTTTGAGATGCTATTAGCATGAACTGGGAAAACCGGGAATCATCTAGGGATCGATAACAACCAGGAATTTTATTAGAATCTTAATCCGACAAAAGTACGGTGTGGCACTAGGGTGGGGCTTATTTTTCAAAGTCGTTCGAGGACATGTTTGCTCATGTGTAAAATTAATATTGGGCCTAATTAAGTAACATATCAAAAATTGAGATTTTTTCGTTGGCGCAAAAGGTCCAAGTCCAAAATGTCGAACGATGAACTTTTTCGAATAAAACATACACTGAGAAAAAAATTACCCTAAATTTAAGTTATTTTAACTTAATTTTGGGTAATTTTGAGTTTTGCATCCCACTCTCACTTTTTGTTGTTGTCAAAAATGGACCGAGAGATTCGATTTTCTCATGACTATCGTTCAATAAGCTAATAGTGAGTATATGAGATATTCTCAAATTTGAGTCAATTGAACTTAATTATGGATAGAAAATACTCACGAGTAAGTAATTATTTTTGTCGTAGTCAAATGTAAACTACTACAAGCGGTTTACTGAAAATTAGATTATTGAACGGAACATGGGAGATTAGTGAAAAGAACTGAATTTGGGTAATTTTTCGGTTCCGTGTATGCTTCTTTAGACCTTTTTGACGTTTAAATCGTCTTTCTCTATCTAGCGCTTATGAATGAATGAATGGTTTGTTTTCCCACAAATGTGTTTCACTCTTGCTCGCACTCGTTCGATTTAAATGAGGCAGAAGTGTGCACAGAAATTCAAAACAACCCAAAATTAAGTTCTTTTCACTCATCTCCCATGTTCCGCACGATAAGCCAAATTTGGGTAAACCGGCTCAAAGTAGTTTGCATTTAAGGACGGCAAAAAAAAATACCCATCGCTAAGTTATTTTCAATTTTTTCTACCCAAAATTAAGTTCAATTAACTCAAATTTGGGTATATCGCATATTACTCAATTTTGGCTTCTCGTACGGAACTAGACGGTTGAGTCGAATCTTTCGTTCTATTTTTGACAACAATAGCGAGAGGAAATGAAACGGGCAGAGGTCAAATAACTCAAATTTGAGTTTAAAAAACCCAAGCGGTGGGTAGTTTTGTTTTTCTGTGTGCGTCGATTAAAGGTGTATTCAGATCTGAGCGATATTTCACGCGCGGAGAGAGATTTTGCGAAGGTACGAGAGGGAGAAAAGTACTAGGTCTCTCTCATTCTTACGCAAATTTTGCTCCGCTCCGCTAATGTACGCTTAGATCTGAATACACCTTAAACGACAAAAAGCTCTATAAGTAAACACGTGATTTATTAATGGCGAACATTTTGTCCATTTTTCGATACCTTTACTCTTTCTCGAGGTATATGGCATAACGATGTTACCGAATATGGACTTAAGCTTGCGTATATAGATTTTCACGTCCGGTTGTATTGGTGCGATATGTGAGAACGTGTTAGTGAAAATCCGAGGAAAATACATAAAAATCGCTGTCAAACTCATTTCGGCAGATCTAATTTCATAATTTTTTTAGGTTAGCCAGAAGAAAATAATAAACAACTTTACACGCCGTGCGTTAAGCGTTAAACAATTAATGTGCATGCTTTTCTTTTTTTTTTTCTTTATTATAGAGATTTTTAGACATAGGCTAGTGCATCTCTTATAGTAATGTGCATGCGTTAAACGTCACTAATCTCTATTGATCTATAGCAATCAGCATCTTGCGGTGATAGATGGAGCGCGAGTAAATATGAGAATGAGAGAGAAAGACAAAGAGGAAAAAAATCGAGAGAGGGAAACAAAGGTATACCAACAGGTACACGGTGTTTCGTGAAAACCCATTAATGGGTAAAAAAAAATACCCATTTTCAAACCATGTATGCAGCTGTCAAAAAATGGGGGAATTTTGAAATCATAAAATGGGTGAAAAAATACCCATTTAAAGAATCAGTTCACGGTTGAATAATGGGTATATTTTTTACCCATTAATGGGTGAAAAAACACTTCGAAATTTTATCGTCTCATTTCCGTCATTGGGAATGCAAACCACGATGCAAACAGTTACTGTCCGCAGCAACGATCTCCGGAAAATATTAGAATCCAAAACGTTGGAGAGGCTTACGGATAAGTCAATACAATGGATAATTTGTATTATAATGTTTCGTGAAAAATTTGAGCGGAAAACCTGCATTTATTTTCAATGTTTTAAAAACATTTTTACATCAACGAGCGCTTGCATCCTCCATTTGTAAAAATGGGTATTTTTTCACCCATTTTACGGTAAACACAATATAAGAAAATGGGTGAAAAAACACCCATTTATTGACCGAACACCCATTTACCCATTTATGAGTAAACCATAGTTAACCCATTAAATGAGGAGGGGCACTTTGAGCGGAAATGGGTATTTTTATACCCATTAATGGGTTTTTGCGAAACACCGTGTATACCTTATAGACTTCTCTGACATTTGTGAATTGCACAAGTATTATTGCAGAACTTTGGATAAATTCAAGGGTTTTCTTCGAGGGGGACGACTCTATCTTCGATGCAAAAAAGATTGTGTTTTGCTGTGGCTAGCTGCGCGCACGCTGAGTAGATAGAAAGAAGATTGATGACGATTCTGAAGATTTCCTGCAAAAAATTGATGAGCGATGCAAGTAGATGCGACAAATGAAAGAAGATTGTTCGAAGATTGATTCGCTAGTGTGAGATTTGTTGACCATCTAAACTTGAGATTTAGATGTGTCGCCCCCCTCGGTTTTCTTGCACTAATACTTATAATTTACCCAAAGGACTGCACTAATACTTGTGCATTTGACAAACGTCAGAGAAGTCTATTACAATAAACTCTTTCTAAATAGATACATGCGAACAAGAAATTTGAAAACAATATCAAAATGAAAATAAATTTACCTCTGTAATTTTGCTGTTTTGCATGGGAACTGTGGTTGAAGTAGCCAGGATTTCCACCAAATAAGGGAGAATATCGTGTTAAATAGAATGAGACTTGACTGTATTTGAAATGTGATCTTATTTCAACGTAAAGTATGTATTGATTTATTCAGAAAATAAACTTCTCAAGAATAGGATTGATCGATAACCGTCGATAACGGTAACGTGTACGTCTGCAATGGTGAATTTGCATTTCAGACGTTAATGCAGATATTATCGACGGCCATTGCTTAATAACCCTGCTGATGACTGCTTTTCACACATTGTATTGTTAATTATTCTTATTTTGACTGTTATGTTTTGTATTTTACCATTGCAATCATTGAGTATTGGCGTCTGAACGGAGAAATCTCCATATTTTGTTTTTGTTTTAACTCTTTAGGTAGAAGCATACGTCACATACGTGGTATCTCTTACTTACCTTACCAATCAGGCTAAGGTCTTGTTGTCCTCTGCTTTTCGAAGAAGTCGTCTCCACTCTACTTGATCCATGGCCACAGTTCGCCAGCCTCGTAGTCTGCGAAGGGTCCGCAGGTCACCTTCTACTTGGTCGATCCACCTTGCCCGCTGCGCGCCTCTTCTTCTTGTTCCTGTTGGGTCGCTTTCAATTTCATCGGCGAAGCCAAGGAGCTGCATGGACTTCCTGAATATCGTGCCACTCGTGTCTATCCCAGCTCTTCTGATCACACCTTCTAACGCGATGTTGAACAGCAGACACGAAAGTCCATCACCCTGCCGTAACCCCCTTCGAGATTTAAAGGGACGCGAGAGTGTTCCCGATACTCGAACAACGCACATCACTCGATCCATCGTCGCCTTGACCAATCGCGTCAGTTTATCCGGAAGTCCGTATTCGTGCATAATCTGCCATAGCTGATTTCGATCGATTGTGTCGTATGTGTATTTGAAATCGATGAACAAACGATGTGTGGGCACGTTGTATTCGCGGCATTTCTTCAGAACCTGCCGAATCGCGAAAATTTGGCCCGTGGTAGCGCCTGGTATTGCCCCACGAACTCTCTTGCATATGGTGACAGACGGCGGCATAGAATTTGGGAGAGTACCTTGTAGTCGGCGCTCAGCAGTGTGATCGCGCGGTAGTTGCAGCAATCCAACTTGTCGCCCTTTTTGTAGATTGGGCATTCGACACCTTCCATCCACTCCTCCGGTAATATCTCCTTCTCCCAAATCTTGGCAATTACCCAGTGCAGCGCTCTAGCCAGTGCTTCACCACCGTATTTTAATAGCTCACTTGGTAGTTGATCTACACCAGTTGCTTTGTTGTTCTTCAGCCGACCGATCTCCTCCTCAACTTCTTGAAGATCAGGGCCGGTAGCCTGTCGTCTTCTGCGCGTGCTCCAAGGTCTGTTGCCGTGCCACCTTCGTTTTCTGCTGCTTCACCGTTGAGGTGCTCGCCATAGTACTGCTTCCACCTCTCAATCACCTCACACTCGTTCGTGAGAAGGTTACCGTCCAAGTCCTTGCACATATCGGCTTGCGGCACGTAGCCTTTGCGCGAACTATTTAGCTTCTCGTAGAACTTCCGTGTGTCGTTTACGCGGTACAGATTTTCCATCGCCTCGCGATCTCGGTCTTCCTGCTGACGCTTCTTCCTTCGGAAAACCGAGTTTTGTCTGTTCCGCGCTTGTCTGTATCGCTCCACATTCAATCTCGTGCGGTGTTGCAGCATTCTCGCCCGTGCTGCATTCTTTTCCTCTACTAACAGTATGCATTCGCCGTCAAACCAGTCATTTCTTCGGTCCGGGATTGCAGTACCTAGTGCCGCTGCAGCAGTACTACCTATGGCTGAACGGATGTCCCTCCAGCTATCTTCAAGTGAAGCTGCGCCAAGCTGCTCTTCCGTGGGTAGTGCAACTTCCAGCTGCTGCGCGTAGTCCTGGGCAACTCCGGCGTCCCGTAGTTGCTCAATGTTGGGTCGCGGCGTTCGACTTCGACGTGTGTTATGCACCGTCGAGAGTTTTGAGCGCATGCATACTGCAACTAGGTAGTGGTCCGAA